TAAAACACAGGCTAATTTTCATTTTTGGGTGAACTAACCCTTTAATGCAAGTGAATCAACTATTCAGTAATTTACAGCAAAGAGCTTAAAACAATTTTAAAAGTTTTCTATATTCTAAAGTGTGTGTGTGTGTGTATATATATATATATATATATATATATATATAAATTTTAATTTATTTAGCCCCTGAAACTGGCTCATTCCATTAATAGGGTACACTGCTAGAAGTGTTAAAATGTATTCTATTTTTTAACATCATGATATTCAATTAATTTTAAAAAGAAAATTTTAGAACAGCATGGTGAGAGGGCAGTAGTTTAATATTACACATATTTATGACTTAATTTTGAATTTAGGACAAAATTGCAACCCTCTCACCTCTTTTGTGTGATATGTTAATATATATTAGATATATATCATGTAACCCATTCATGGAAAGCACCTTCTTCACAGGTTAAAAGACTGCAGTGTAATGTTAAAATCTCACATATAAAAAGTCATGAGATGGGTATTTTGAGTTTATGTTGAATATACTGGGAATTTACTGTGGGGGAAAAATTCCACCATGACTAGAAAGCATTGATGTCAACATCTGCTTAAAGTGAATATCCTAAAAGTTTGCCAGCATCATATAATATCATGTATGTATATTAATATGTAAATAATATCATAATCTATAACCATCACTTAAATGACTGAAACATCAACTAGATGTTGATTGTGCTCAAGCTGATGCGTTTCTGAACTATAATAGTAATCCAGATAAAGTATTGTCCAGGTAACTCTGAGCTGAAAGTTTTCAAGTAAGATTCCCAATTTATGACAAGATCACATTTATTTCTTCAACATCAAACTTAATTCAAACAGGCAACCTGGCCATTCATATGACTTTATGTAGGGAAGAAAGGTCAATAACAGTAGCAGTTTTGAGATCAGACACAACCGAGCAATAAAATCATTGCCAAAGCAGCAAAGTCAGTGCTCTGTTCTACCTTTGACTCCATGACGAGGCCTCGGGTGCAACAGGGGTTTATTCCGATCCATATCCACCAAGAAAACAACAGCCGGGCAGAGGGAAAGCTCCATCAATAAACAAAGCTATGAGAGGAAAGCATGGACTTGCTGCTTTCAACGGTTTCAAACGCAAATGTCCAAATCCAGGTAGCTCCTGCTTTCACAGCGGGGCTTTAGAAAATAAGCCACATGAGGCCCTATTAGCATTATCATTAGCAAAACCATACCTAGGATCAATGTTGCTTAGCGTGATGATTTTAAAAGAGTCCAGGGAGATTTTTTGGGGAGGAGAAAGATAGAAAAACATGTCCATTGTCATGTGTACCGTGTTCACTTCAGACATTGTGAGCATCACCTTTTCAAATCTGCTGGCTCTTTGGTGAGGGCGGGGCATATGGTGGCTGTGACTGTGGGCGGAGCTGCTGCGGTGGTCGCCGGGGCGATGACGGCAGCCGCTCGTTCTTTGGCCAGTGTAGTCTGAAGCTCCGCCCTACGAGCCAGAGCAGCTTTCAAATGCCTGCGGAATTCCTCGATCTTGGCCTGGAGCTCCTCCAGCTCGCTCTCTCTGGAGGGGCTCGAGGATCTCACTGAGGAAGAGGCGGGCCCCTGAACGGGCCCTCCGTTTTCACACACTCTCGCCAGTAAACTCCCAGCTTCGGAGCTCAATGCGGAGGCGGCGCTGGACTGACCCCCCTCGGACATGACGCGGGGCAAGAGACAGCGCGTGTTGAGGGTCTCCAAGTTGAAATGGACCCTCTTGTTGTCTTTGGGCTCCTGCGCCGCATTGGCGCTCTCGTTGTTCCATCTGGCGAAGGATCCGAGAGGAGCAGGTGGAGGTGGCGGATGCGGCTGGGCTTTCTGGATGTTACAACTAGGAAGACAGAGCCAAGACAAGTGATTTTGTTAAAGGGATAGATCACCCAAAAATGAAAATCCTGTCATTATTTATAGAGTTTTCGTACAATATCCTTTTCTGTGTAATGAAGTGAATGGGGACTGGGGCTCTCAAGTTCCAAAATGACAAAAACACCGTAAAAGAAGTCATCCATATGACTTGAGTGCTATATTTGAACTTTTCTGAAGCTTTTCGAGTCACATAGACTATTTTTATGGTACTTTAATGGTGCTTTTGAAGCTTGACAGCTCCAGTCTCCATCCACTTTTATTATAGTGAAAAGAGCAGCCTAAATATTAATCAAAAAGTCACAATGTCTTCCATAGAAGAAAGAAAGTCAAGGAAATATGGAATAGCATGAGGGAAAGAAAAGCTTCAGTTAAATTACAAAAATGACTAAAGCTAAACAGAAAAATAAAATAAAATGACAAAAGCACATAAATTACTCAAACTAAACAACGTTAATGAAAATTGAGTATATATTCAAAATATTAATAAATCACCCAATATAAATAATAGTATTTATATTTGGGTGAACTATCCCTTTAAATGAGCTATACTCAGGGCCGTCCTTAGCTGACGCAGGGCCCGGTGCGAGGTAGGGGGGTCCCCCTCAAGCGCGGGGCCCAGTTGCACCCTCCTAAGGACGGCCCTGGCTACACTACATCTTCAGCTTGCTGTAATAACAAAAGCAGCAGCATCATTAATTATTAAAACTCATTTTCATTAATTGAAATAAAGCTGAAATCAAATCAAATCAAATATAAATATTAGATGAAAAACGTAACATTTAAAAAAAAAGTAGAAATGTTGTCTTGGAAAATAATTAAAATAAATAAGTAACTATGACTAAAAATGAAATAAAAATAAATGCTAAACAAAATCTAAAAAACAAATACAAATAAAAATGACAGCACATAAAATTACTAAAACTTTAAAGTAAAATAAAAACTTGCAATATGGAAATAAAAATGATTCAAAATGTTAATAAATATTATAATAGTATAATATTAAGAAACATTTTCGTTAATTGAAATAAAGCTAATTAAAATAAAATATAAATATTAGATAAAAAACGTAAAGTAGCAATGTTGCCTTGAAAATGATTTATTTAAAACAGGTTTCAGTTAAATTACTAAAACTGAA